CTGGAAGCCTTCCAAGTGGCAGAAGGCTGCAGGGCTGCCAGGGGAGGGTTGCTCTCCAGTGCAAGGAGAAGAGAGCCTATGAAAGAGGTGTCACAACTTATGTAGAGGCTCGAAGCTGTCTCTTGAAATTCTTGGCCTCATATCAGGGAACTATCGAGTGATAAGCAGAACAAGCCGTTTAACGGACTCTGCAGACTTATCCTGGGATTACTCTTAAAATAATGTTACCTCAGGACCTGAAACCTTGCACAAGTTAAGCGTTGTAACACTGTTTTAAATGGGGATCCGCAAAATATTTCAAGGCACCACAACAGCTCAGTTAGGTTTAGGAAAGATCAAAGATCGACCTCAAAGTCTGAGGGAAACTTTGGACCTAAAGGTGCAGCACTAATCACTTCAGGCAGGGTGTGGGGTCAGAACACATTTTTTTTTACTGTTCAGGTGTTATTGTGTATCAGTAAGATGCAGAGTCAAAAGCTAAGGCTCAAACCCCTAAATTCCACCAGATGCGTGTTTGGTCTGTCTCCGGACCAGCTCCTGCAGTCCGGAGCATTATGCAGCAGAGATGCAAGGCTTCTTTCCAGAGCTGAAGCACAATGCATCAATTTACCACAGAAAAGATTAAGAGGGAAGTCAGACACTGAAACAACATTAAAACATCAGCTTTATTTTCAGAATAAAACACTCAGTTTTAACGCTCCAGAACAATGTGTGTTTGTTGTTGTGTTTATTAGGGTTAGGGTACAGTTTTATACCACTGCCTCGGACAGCAGTTGCGAGAACACAGATTGGTTGATAGCAGGACTGAGCTTGTACGTATAGAAGCCCCTAAGTGATGATTGAGCAGCATTACTTTTGTATAAGTCTATATTTAAGTGTTAGGAAAATGCTTCTTCTTTTACCTTTAATTACCTTGCAGTTGGCTAACATCCCAACATGCAAACACACTTAAAACTAGGCTACCTAAAACACCTCGAAAATCCAACTGCAGAAAATGATGTTACTATAAGTCTGTATGTTTACTTTTGGTTATGTTCGTGAAACAACATAGTTGTTTATTGTTGATACTTCACACCAGGTGTTAAAATCAACAGAAAACAACCCACCTGAGGGTATACCATATGTACATGGTTTCCCCCTAAGTTAAGTTGAATCAAGTTTAACTTTGTAACAGACATATTCATACTTTTAATAACATGAGATTTAAGTTTATGTCATACATTTCTAACAACTGGTGAAAGAGACCCTGATGTGGTATCTAGGAAGAGTGTGACTTTAACACTTAGCAGATTGCATTATGGGAAGGCTATACAGTATTTTTCACAAACGACTATTTTTACATTTTACGAAACAGAAGTTTAATTACAAGATCGACACCTCTCTCTTTTATATACATGCCTGGATGCAGCAGTCACATAGGTCTGCTATATTTGTCGCTGTTTCCTTGTAATCAACTCTTAAACAATGTATTTTTTTTTCACTTATGTGTAATGCCTTGTTGTTGATCTTTTATTCCACTGTCCTGTCATTTTGGAGCACTAATGTTCTTTTGGATTTACAATGCTCTATCCTACCTGAGCACAGTGGTTCCCAAAGTGGGGGTTGGGAATGGACATCTTCAAGGGTGTTGTTCACTTATACCAGAGGCTTAAAGAATGAACCCTTGAAAAAGAAAAAAAAAAGTACCATTAATAGGCCTATATGTTTTTCATGCTAGGAGCACTCAATCGAATTTCTTCTACAAGCAAAAACTCTGTTTCTATGGTATTCAGTCTTCAAAACAGGTCATTCATGATGTGTGTCATTTTTTTGTGCTTAATGTAGAGAAAATGTACCCGTAACAGACTAGTCTCCTTTTCACACAGGGTGAAGGCTGGGTGTGCAGCAGGGCGATGATAACAGGTTGCAGGACTCATTTTAGATGGTTAGAGATTTCTAACAAATAACAAATAACAAATAACAAATAACAAATAAATCAACTTTGAACTAGGATGACGAAAAGACATTTTAAATTGGCTATGGTGTCAGTTGTAAGGTAATAGTGGAGTGGGGGTTGGGACCCATGGGGGTTGCAAGAGGGAGGGCGGGTCAAGAAGATGCTATAAAAAATTCCATGAAAAAAATAAAATGATTTAAAATAGTATATGATAGCCATTATTGAAAGAATATACACAAACCAATAGTTCAATTTCACATAAAACCATATCATTAAGTTAAATTAAAACGACATTAATGTGTAAAAATACGTCAAATGTAAGTTTGCACGGCAACAGTGTAGGTGTCTGCTGCTCTTTACACATAAAGATAAAATCTGTTTAATAGGTTTTGTATGTCCACTCAGAGCTTCAGTCTATCCATGAAAATGGCTTGTCTTCTTATTCTAGCCTTTCTTACAATAAACTACTTCATACAATTATTTTATGTTTTTTTTGGCTGTTGTTTGGATCAGCCTTTTATTGCGTGGGTAGCTGTGCGCTACGTTACATGCCTTAACCACTTCAAGGGACGGTGGGGGTCCCCAGTCTCTGGCACCCTTATTTCTGGGGTCATAAACAGAACAGTTTGGGCCGGCCTTAGCATCGAGATTGAGCAGAAAATAACTCACCTGGCTTGAAATCCACCCACAAGCAAACTTTAAAAGGTGATGGAAATGCTGCCCACACCGGAACATAAAAAATAAATCACGACATAAACATAGTGACTGTGCATCCCCGGTCTCGACTATGCATTCATTTGAAGTTTTGAAACTTCATTTCCTCTTCTGCCTGTCAGTCGCCCTCCTGAGTTTCATGCTCCTTTTTTTCTCCCCACTGTGCTGATTACTCGACCACAGATCTGCAGCTGGACTTACAAAAAGCGAATCGGTGACTTGGATAGATTGTCTTTAGATTAGAGGTGACAGCAGCCTGAATCAAGAAGTCAAAGGTTCCTGCACAGCTCCAGGGACATTTTAGTGATGGGCATGTATGCCTATAACCTCCTTGGAAAGTTTCAGAGAGACACAAGTCGTAAAAAAAGTGCTGCTGCATTTCACTATTTTTGTGTTATTTGTCTCTTTTGTGGCATGAGGTAATTAAACTTTGGTACTGACTAAAAGATCTCAACAACCTTTGAACTGATTGTTATGGTCACAGAGGATGAAGACTACCATACTTGTTTTTAGTGTCACAAACAATACAACGTTTCCACTCCATCCATTTAAATATTAAACAACTGTTTATGGGCTCATGCAGACTTACGATTCCCAGAGGTTGAGTGATCCTCTGAATTTCCCCTACCAAGTTGTGTCTGAAACATCACTACTTGTAGGAGCCAAGTTACATTCATACATGTAAAAGTAAATAAATAAGCAGTGCAATTTTGGGTAGAAAGTTCATCTTTATGTTAGGGATTTCATTGTATAAGTTAAGTTATAAAATGTATTTAAAGTCAGCTAAAGGTAATTTGATTTAATTCATGTGGATTTTCTGTAAAGTTAAAAGCAGTATGGTATTGCTGTTAGAGCAGTGAGGTAGGTTACCGTCACTTTAAGAGAGAGAGAGAGAGAGAGAGAGAGAGAGAGAGAGAGAGAGAGAGAGAGAGAGCTCTTTAATGCTGGGGGAGGGTTAGACTGGTTTCAGGCAGTTGAGGATCAATTAAGGAACGAGCCACATGGTTTCTTTACCGTAGTATAGTTCATTGATTAGGAGAACTTGACTTTGGATCATCCAGTAAGATTGTTTAACAAAAGTGTGGATTAAAGGAATTTGGTTGATCACTTTTACTTCGGAGTCCTGTGGAAGTTTGTTCCTCTTCAAGTGAACATAGACGAGTAAATCCAAGGCCATTTGATCTTCAACCCACCACACAACTGAACAATTGTCCGCAGAATTTGACAAATTCATTCAAATCCTCTTTGAGATTAATTTAGTTATCCGTTGCCGTATAATTCAAGAACAACACTATCGGTTACTTTGTCTGTGGGATTTCTCTTGAGGGCTCTGATGAACTCTGTGTATGCATAAACTTTACATTAACTGTGATCATTTTTGCATACACACTTTGATTTTTTAAGTGCAGTGTGTTGTCTGACCCATCTTACATCCTCCATCTGGAGTATAAGCTCTTAGCATCTGGCAGAGGATACAGAGTTTCCCAATGCGGAATGAACCATGTTGAAAAGTCTGTTGTGCCCACCTCAATCAAAAATGAAATAATGCAACTTGAAGCTGTATGGGTTGTGCAATTCATAGCTTTCAGTGATGTGGCCTGCACGGAGGCTCGGAGGGCACAAAGAACTCAGGAAAGTAGAGGCTACCTTTGAACACACTGTGGAGCTCTCTGGGATTTGTTTCTCACAAGCACAACCCAGGCTTCTGTTCTTGGCGGCTAGTGCATACAAATGAACAGCAACCGTCTTTCATTAAAAAATATAAAAACTGGTTAAAACCATAGACTATGAGTGACTTCACCCATCTGTTACTGCAGGGGGCTCTGGAGGCTCATCGGCAGCAGACCCCCATGCTGGAAATGCTGTCTCAGACTAACTTTCAGACCACCGAGTCCGATACAATTATGTCGTTTCAAATGATATTGTGTTGTAACATATTATATTGTTTTATGTAATGAATGCACACTTGAGACAATTAAAAAAAAAAAAAAACAGGCTTCATTGTTTTGTGTATTGACTGGAGAGTGCAGCCTCAGGGTTTCTCTTTTTCTGTCAGCTCACAGTGTTTAAAGTAAATCAGAGAGAGGTGTCAGGTGAGGTCTGTGCTCCACATGCAGGCTCTGTGATCGACTAAAATGATAAAAGATCCCGCTGGTGAATGTGATGAATGATAGACGACATACAGAGACGAGTTGCTGAAACACATAATCCTCCTATTCAGTGTCATTTAGAAAGAAAATCAATACGGTTGGATAGCAGGTGAAGCTCTCTCACTGAGAGAGGATGAAATGAAATGGCTTCAAGTCAAACAGCGCCGTGTTTATGTCTATTGTTCTATCTTTTTTTTTAGGAATATCAAATAGACATCATCTTCGCCCAGACGTGGATAGACAGCCGTCTCAGATACAACAGCACCATGAAAATATTGACTCTGAACAGCAACATGGTGGGACTCATTTGGCTGCCCGACACCATCTTCAGGAACTCCAAGAACGCAGATTCACACTGGATTACAATGCCCAACCAGCTGCTGAGGATATGGAACGATGGGAAGATACTTTACACCTTGAGGTAAACACACCTTTTTATTCTTGATCAAGTCAAATTAACAAGAGTACTGTAACATTTGACACAGGAGTACAATACTTCAGTGCAAAGTCAAGCTTCATGTTCTGCATACTCAAGCACATTTTAAAGTGAAATATTAAAGTTCTGTTAATCATTAATGAAGACCTTACTGCTTTCAGTGAAGGATCAAACACATTTCATAACTTCCTGTTAGAGACTGGCTTTCCTAACTTCATCTCGACACATACCGCTTAACTTGGATCAAATTTAGACCATGGACCCCCCTCTGATAAGGTGGGTTCTGTCATTGTGTTACTTATGGATGGAATTTAACTGAACAAAAATCGCTTGGGATCCCCTGGAAACCCCTCAACCATGCAGAGGGTTACCCACCATGAGAAACACTGGATCAGAGTAAATGCTATCTGACTGTGAGCTTCTCCAGGATCAAACTACACAGTTGTGAGAAGGGTTTGTCATTCCAAGGCTTGACCAGGCGCGTCTCACCCGTGGGTGTTGTGGGTTGCGACACCCACACTTTCACTGAAACATAGTTTCATCCCCCACACTTTTTACCAGTGGAGTCATCGATTAAAAAAAACCCATTGGACATTAGATTTATTAAGTGACAATTAAGCCAATCGTAGCTGTTCGATTACAGTTGAAGCACGGTAAAGTTACGCGCATTTAATCCTCCTGTCATTCATCACTGGCTGAGTCAGAGCTAACAAATGGAAACATGCTACATGTAGCATCCTTCTGAAAGAGAGTTAGTCACCCAAACAGATGTTTTTAAGATAAATCCACCTCACAAAACAACGTAAGTGGAACATTTTCTCCTCTTGGTTGTTCTTTTAGCTGTATTTATTTACTCCCGTAACTTTACGATGTAGCGGAAGTCCATTTTGCAGTTTTTCAAAATAAAAGCACATTACATTTGAAGACCGGAAATAAAGAGACTGAGGCATAAGGCAATAAGGAAAGCAAAATAAAAGCATCACAAAGAGCAGTTTTGAATCTCGTTTTTAGAGATAACTGGGTTACTCACAATGGATGTTCATAAAGTTAGTGTCTAATTATCTTTTGTAACTTTGTCTTGTTGTATGATGTGTCAGCTAACATTAGTTATTGAACATTAAATGAAACATAATGTGTTGATTTGCTAGAGGGTGGTAATATACTAGCATTAGAACACCCGCACTTTTAAAATCGCTGCTCCACCCCTGGGCTTGACATTACTGTTTTGCTCACTGTTTTGGCTGGCCACTGTGGCTAGTGGTTTTCCAAAGTTACTAGCCACTTCGCATTTTTAACTAGACACCGTTTTGTTGTTAGGAAATTAACTTTGATAGGATTTAAGTTCACCATGGTAAGCAAAAATGTACTAGATTTACAACTCTTTTAAATGTAAATGACCACAAGACTACATCAAATTTGAAACCTATATCAAATGTATGATGCATCCTACAAACAGTGCAGTACATGATTTTCTTGGCTGGATAATAAAGCAGCCATCGTGTTTCAAGTTCCATCGTCAGTTCTTCTCTCGTGTGAAATCTGCTCTCCAGGTTTTCTTACACCTTTTATGTGCTGCCAAACATCTCCTTCTCTTCACATCTCCACCATGTTCTCCCCAGGAACTACAGTGTTGTCAGTCACAAGGGCACAATCGCAAGGCAGTAGGCTTAACGAATGGACCAATGAGCTAACACTGTGTGCAGTCAGTGTCATGGTGTCAAAAGTCAGTTGCAACTTTGGGTTTGCTGGTGTAATTGTCAAGCCCTGGTTGTCACAATACCAAGTGTTTAAAGTTATATACGATCCAAGTTCAAATCAAATGATATTCGATACCTGTTTCAATACCACTGCAACCAAAATTGAAGTCCTTACTAGCACCCAATATTGAGTAATTCTTGTTTTTAATTACCAAAAAAAAAGCGTGCAAACTTCTGCAATCTGTCTAAATTCTACTTTGGTACTGAAATTATGACCTGAAGTTTTCTTAAAAGCTATGTCACTTTTTTATACTATAGATAATAAAATAACATGAAATTGTATGTTTTTTATGGAAGTATTGGAAATTTGGCAACCTTGAGTAACGCTGCCCCTTATGTTAGAATACTTGTTTTTATTTGTTAAGGATACAAAGTACTCAGAAGTTTGAAGCTGATGAAGTCATGGGCAAACACGTTGTTTTTATGTGGGAGGTGAATCTACTTAATTTCCTCCAAAAATGATGCTGCATTTCTTACAGACACCTTGCAGTAGCTGTATTGTTTTATTTATAGGATATAATAATAACAGTCTATGATCTAAAAGCTGTATCAACACTTCTCAAACTCTAAAATGACCTTCAGTGTGTCCACTTAAACTTTCCCATATGGGTTCTCTAAGGCTTATAAACTAACCAATCAGTTTAAATTGTTTCAGACTTCTGCAGTCTTGATCACTATGGAAATTATGCAAAATAATTTGTGACGCAAACTTTCCCTAAAAAGAGCAGCGCAAAAGCAATCATCCCCTGTGATTATCAATAGTAAGTGCAAATTGCCTGCTCGAGTCTTAAGACCAAATTAGAGAGGCAGTCGCCCTCGTGCCCTAAAGCTCTCTTTGTAATTGGAGCACTCAACATTAATTTAAACGGCTCTTTCAGTAATCAGCAGCTCTACATCGTTCTCCACGTCCTTGACACTGTCCTTATGTGGTGAGACATTTCCACATTTTTTATAGATTATGTTGAGAATCAGAATCAGAATGAAGTTCTTTTTCAAAGTTCCTTTTTTGGCCTTTTTGCCTTTTAGCATTTTATTGGACGGGACAGCTGAGGAGAGACAGGAAATGTTTGGAGGAGAGAGTAGGAGATGACATGCAGCACAGGGACGAGGTCAGATTTGAACCCACAGCCGCTATGACGATGACTACAGCCTCTGTACATGGGGTGCAACATAACCACCAGGCTATGAGCGGACAATTGTGCAGATAGTCTCTGGCAGACTTATCTTGGGGGTCGTGAGCTGAAAAGTTGGGGAACCCCTGAGCATGTTGTACGATAAGTTAAAAACACACGCTGAAGGGATTGATGTGCATGTGCGAGAACAGCAGATATTAAGACAATGAGATCATGCACTGTGATTTTGTGGTAACAGTCTGTGAGGAGGGAGGGGCAGTCATTGGTGTGTGTTGGTGTTTAAGGTATTTTCTCTATGTTTGTGGAATGTGTTCTACAAGCAAAATGAGGGTTTACAGTGACCAAACAACAAATATTTAACTGAAATGAAGTGATTTTACTGTCATAGACATTTTCCAAAGTCAAAATATAATCAGGAGAGTGTTCCTGGAGTCGTGGCTCGCTCTTATCATCTTATTTGTTTGATGACTGCCCAGTTGATGAAAAAGTGAAGTTCAATTATGTGATTACTATAGGGCATTTTCAATCTCCATGTCCTAAATTTTTTTTTACAGTCCCTGTCCCAGTTTTCACCTTCCAAAACTATGCACCATGGTTGCAACATTGGTTTCTCTCTATCAATCAATGCTGTTGCCGAGGTTTTTGCTGTTTTAACTAATAGAAAAACATCAGAATGAATCCTGAGTCAAAGTTCAACTGATTTGTCTTGGTTATCATACAAAGGGTAGCCGACCCGTCATGCGGAAAAAGGGAGTCAGTGTTTTCCAACAAGCTCCAGGAGAGTTACAACAAAAGTACCTTCGGTCTCTGTACAGTCTTTTGCATACGCTGCAAGTGTCGATTTTCAGTCGCCCACGGTGGAAATGCAGAAATCGAAGCCGTATTTAAAACGGGAAAACACAACGGTGGATTCAAGCTGGAAGTAGCACTGCTGCAACTTCAGTGAGGCAGGCGTTAATGACAACCAACTTAAACTGGCTTCTCAGGAGGAGGGCACCCTTGTCTACCTCCTTGTGTGACCAGTTCAGGTCAACAATCTGTGGCTCTATACTGTACATGCTGCTTTGTGGAAAAATGATAGTGTCTCGATTTGGAGGTTTTGAAATATGGTCACCCTAGATTACTGTCAACAACCAGAAGGTGTACTTTCTCTCTCTGGCACCAAAAAGAGCTAACACCTTTACTCTTCTCTTTCCTGCTGTTTGCACAGCAATGTCTAGGTCCAGTGTTTGTTATCAGAAAGAGTCTGTGTGGACTTAGGGGAACGGGAATATTTTAAAAGACAATAACAAGGACAAACAAAAAGCAGTGTTGTGTCGCCTTAAAACAGGTGAACTGACCTGTATACTGTAACATAATATAATCCCCCTATATCTGATATTATGTAGGGATGGGGAAACTGATGTAGATGTTACTCTCTTGGGTAAAGAATGGGACTTGGTTCTTGGACTTGGGGGTTCACCGTCCTTTATATGTGCGAGACATGTCTTAATACAAATCAACCTTGGCTACATCTTTCTAAAGCCAAACCTGCAAGAACGTTTCCTGACCTAAGCCTCATACATATGTGACAGGTGTGAACAGGCCCTAGCAACTATATATCTTGTATTGTGGTCCTGCTCAAAACTCGCACCTTTCTGGTCCTCATTTCTTGACATCTAGCTGCATGCTTTGCCCTCTTACACTATTGCCATCTTCTGTGTTTTCTCTGCCCCAGCAGGTTTAAATATTCCTCCTTACTTCTAGAAGGTCATTTCATATTCTTCTCTAATAGCTAAAACGTTCAATTTTATTCAAGTGGAAAGATGTAACCCCTTCCATCACACAACCGATCTAAGATGTAATGAACAACATTGAGCTGTAAAAAACCCTTAATGGATCTATTAACAGATTCCACAAAACCTGGGACCCATTCATAAACTATTTGAAGAATGTATCTGGCCTGGAACTATTACATCCCATCAGGTGGTCTCTCATATTGATGCTTGCACTTTTGTCTTTTTTTGTCTCTTTTTTGTCTCTTTTTAGTCTCTCCACTTTTATGGGTTTGTTTGTTCATGTTTGTCTGTGTGAAAGATTTGATCTGGATGTTGGG